GATAGAGATCGTAGCCGTCGGGATAGGGATAGGGATAGGGAACGCAGGGACAGGGATGGCGAGAGGGAGAGAGGCAGCAGTCGTAAGGAGAGGGGGAGAGATGAATCTAAAGAAAAAGACAGGGAGAGGGATAGGGACAGAGGCAAGGAGAGAGACAGAGACAGAGGCAAGGAGAGGGACGGAGGCAAGGAGAGGGATAGAGACAGAGGCAAGGAGAGGGACAGAGACAGAGGTCGAGAGAGAGACAAAGACAAAGACAAAGACAAGGAGAGAGACCGGGATAGGGACAGGGACAGGGATCGTACAGACCGAAACCGTGATCGAAACCGACCCAGAGAAAGCGACCGTGACCAAGACCACAACCACGATACCAACCCCAACCCTAACCGCGTCAATAATGACGAACCAAAATCCAAGTCCAAATCCAAATCCCCACCTGCAAACCCACCCAAAGACTCAAACCCTTCCCAGCCTCATTCTACTCCCATCCAAATCATACCGAAACCCGACAACCCATACGAGCCAGGTATAGTCTGGAACCCCACTGGTGAGAAGGATAAGAGGAATTCTAAGAGTGTGGCGAGCGTCGCTGCTGCGTGGAGGGAGGCGGAGTATGAGAAGGATGGGATTGTTTATGTTGGTCGGTCAGGTGAAGATGACGGGGAGGTGGATGAAGTGAGGGAGAGGGAGAGGAGGAGAAGAGAGGAGGAGGAAGAGGAGGAGGAAGAAGGACGATATAAGATTCGACCACCACCTGCTAAAAGGAGGAGGTTGGGTGATATGAGGGATGAACATGTTATGTTTGTTAATGAGGATTCGGAGAAGGAAGGTGAGGATGAGGATGAGGAAGAGCACTGGCAGTATTTTAGTCCGAGTGGGAGTGATGAGATAAAAATCTTGGACGGGCCGCCTGTGGGGTGGAGTGAGAAGGGGGGTGGTGGTGGTAGTAGTAAGAAAGGAAAGAAGGAGAGGGATGACAGGAGATCGTATTGGCTTTCTAAGGGGATTGGTATTGGGGGTGGTGGTCAAAGTAGTGAGGAGGATTTTGAGTAGCACTTGGGATGTACACTTTGTGTGGAACATCAATGCATCATCATGGAACAATCTCAGGCTGTAATCTGTTGGTGTTGCATAGTCCAATCGTTAAGATCGTGAGCGCGTTTGAGTTACGGTAACTTCTTCCCTCATATATACGTATAACATATATATGTGCGATTTTCAATGACGTTGTCAAGGATGGATTCGGATAGAGTAGAAGAAGAACACTTCCACCTACGGGGCTAAACCCAAATCCAAAAAAATAAAGTTATAACCTGAAAAATTGGTTCTACCGGAGCTATGGCAGCAACTTGTTTCGATCAAGTGACCTCGGGGGGGACACACTACTGTGAGACGACATATGGGCCCCGCGCGCTACCACTGCGCCCTACTGCTATCAATATGCTAAAAGCTGGTCTGAAAAGAGCTCGAGGAACGTCAAAAGCAACCGAAAACGTTGATGTAATGACTCTCGAGATCTGGTGTGGCGTAGAAGGTATCCCAATTTTTTTCACAGTAGTCCATGGTAAATTTGACCCTATCCTACGATTTGGCTTTGAAGCTAGTGAGAGTCATGTATGGATAATTTAGAGGAGTTATGGCTCAATTTGAATACTTGCGCTCCGAGTCGTCCAGAGTCAAGCTGAGTATCTAGAGAGTAGGAAAAGATCACTTCCACGTACAGGGGT